GTTCAGCTTGGATCATTTCTATTTACAAAGTCAGAGTTTAGCGTGTAAGCCTTTAAGGAATAAATCACCCTCAAAATAATGATTTGTATTTCAATTTCTCATCCTGTGTTGGCTGCACTTGCATTTAGGCTAAAACCTTGTTTATTGCACTTTGGACGTGTCCGGACGCGTTGACGACTGAGCCAACTTTAGAGTATGTTTTCAGTATAAAGAGTGGAGCAGTGCGCATACTGGATTAGTGACCATTGGGTTATACTGCTGGAGCTGTGTGAGAGTTTGTAAACAGATGTTTTGTTGTTATTAATGCAACCATTATTTACTTCAATTCTTCAAGACTGTTTCGTCTCTTAATGGGCATGGTGCTGAAGCATCATAACAAAATGACACATTAACAAAAAAATATCTATTTCAGTTCATTTTTACTTCAAAAACTCTGCCCAGTGGTGTAGTGCCTGCATGGAGTGTCAGACAGATCCAATACACACATCCTCCATTCCCAGGATAGGACCATGCTCTCAGTAAACAGATACCGTTCAGCGAGAAAGTTAATCCCTCATTAAGTTGGTAATGACATGGACGGTCATTTCTCTCAATGGATGTCTTAAATGGCCACTATTAGCCCGTAGGAGAGCAGCTCGTACAGTAGCAGTTCACAGTGCTGGTGTCAATGCTAATGCTAATGCTAATGGTCAGCAGGAGAACCAAGCTGCAGGGAATGGAGGTCCTCCCTTCTTTCTGCCACACGTGTAAATGAAAAACACACCCAATCTGCATAGTGACACTGCAAGCAGAGGCAGCATTAATGCAGGAATTAGTCAGTTCATTTCACATTTTAAGCATTTAGCTGATGGCGTTAATGTAATGACTGATAATGAGATGTACGAATTCTTGGTGTTAATAAAGTTGGAATTCTTACTTTGTAGTTTGAGTTTCAAATATAGACTTGACTGCCTTGCATAGTTAAACATTCCTAGGTGTTTGCTTGGTACCTTATAGAAGAATGTAGATTAAGGATTTAAGGCTCTATTATTCAAATATTTAGTTAAACATCATTAAACATAAGCATTGTAAGATCAATCCACAAGTGAATGTTTAAAGTTGGTCTTTCGTGTCCCATTGGTGTACAACGGCTAGCCAGACAGAAGGATGAAAGTTGAGAAATCAATTTGTTAAATGAACCTTGAAAAATATTATATTTCTAAATTGAAAAACGGTAATCACTTTTTCTTAATGTAAGGTTGTTAGAATGCCTTTTCTCTTTGGTCACAGTATTCACCTTCAGTTCTCAGCAAGTTGTCTGTAGCAAAACACGAGTTAAGCTGAATTAAGTGGGAGACTTATCTAAAGAAATAGATGATGTGTGTTTTCAGATTCAGAGCAGGTGTTTTGGTTGTAACTTCACCTCAAACCCTGCTCCTCTTGCTGAGTCAGGATGTGTATTAGAGCCAGACGGAGCGTACCTGGCCTTTTACTGCACTCCCATTCATAGTCAAGGTGAGGGCCAGGCCCAGCAGGCCCCAGTAATGAGCCCTCAGCCGGGCAGCAAGGTGCCAGAGGCAGGCGGCCCTGGATCTGCCTGTGAATGGCTTCATAAAGTCATTAGCAATGGATGTGCGTGGACAGGAAAGGCCCACAGTGGCTGTTAAATGTGTCGGGCAGGTGAGAAAACGATCCCCTTTCACCTCAATAATAATAATGATGACAGTGTTTCTCCATGCTTTTGTTTCATTCAATCATGTGTGAACTGAGTTGGAAGGTGAGACCGAACCGAGCAGCAGTTTCTCCTCTGACACGCATTTCTGTCAGATCCCTCTAATCTGTCACATTTCATATATTAATCATTTTAAGCATCCATTGTTTGGGGGCTCATCATCATGACTTTGATCTTTGAATCTCACAATAAGTCGCTCACATAGCTTTGCACTAGATAAGAGCAGAAGGTTAAACATCATTCTTTGCATATGCAAAAAGATTTAAGATAAGATTCAACTTGTCATTAAGTAGTACAGGTACTATGTAACGAAACGGTTTCTCTGCATTTGACCCATCCTAGTGTTAGGAGCAGTGTGCTGCCATTATGTACGGCGCCCGGGGATCGTGTAGGGAATGGTGCCTTGCTCAGGGACACCTCGGTAGCACTTGGTCTTTCCGGGACTTGAACTGGTGACCTTCCAGTTGCCAAGGCAAGTCCCTATGGACTTCGCCACCACCGCCCAAGACGCAACCAAAACATTTATATTTCTTGCGAATTTTTCGCCATAGACAACGTCAACCAACTTAAATAGTCATATATGTGATGTCATTTATACTCCACGGCATTTGACAGGGAAATGTTGCTTTACATTAAGAGACAGATGTAGTCTCTTGTTAAAATAAAAATAAAATGTTAAGCTTAATTGTTGTCTCTTAAAAGTCATCTTTCAGCACGTATGAGAGTTGTGTTTTATTGTGAGCAACAGTACATCTCTCATAGCACTAGAGGTGCTGCATAATGCAAATTTTAATAACTAAGACAAGCTAAACGTATATTCATTTATACTGGATATTACCGTATTCAAGTGTCTGTTACCAACAGTCAACCATCTAATATATCTTTAAACAAATAATATGTTATAATAGTTTGAAAGGTGAGAATTGGAAAATGGAAATAGTTGCGTGTAAAATATTTAATTTCATCAGTCATCCACCATTTCCAAAAGAAAAAAACAAATCCTTAAAAGTGAAGGAAGAAATGAGCATCCAGTTGGCATTGTGCCACCAGCAGCAGATACTGAAGGAAAGAGCGCTGATGAGGAGTTTCAAGCTTTTGCTGAGAGCCTCATTTGTGAAGGATGGCCCATCGAGCTATTAGAGAGCAGCTCTTCAGCTTCTTTCTCCTCTCAGGCCATGACTATGAAAAGAGGATTCTCTGGGACAAAGGTCCGTGTATTCCTTGTCTGGCTCCAATACACAAGAGGACATGTATCCTTCACTACATCACTACAGGACAGAGGTTCAATGCTGATGTCGGAGGGATGTGTGGAGACAGAATATTGAAGGGGCAACTGGCTGCAAATGGACATTCGTTTTCCCTCTTGATGTAGCAGTTACAGCAACTAATGATGTTTTCATTAACATTGACTTATTGATTCAATGAAATATCCAGAAAACAGTGAGAAATGTCCATCATAGGTTCCCAAGAACAAGGTGATACCTTCAAATGTCTTGGTTTATTTTTCCAACTGAAGACTAAGAGATATTCAGTAGACTGAGGCTCCCGTAAAAAAATAACTTTTCCCAAACGTGAATCATCTGGTTTTTTTTGCCTTTTTACTGGAATATGAAACGAATTATCAAATAGTTTAAATGTATTTATTATTTTTGGTTTACAATATATAATTGACTAATATTTTCACTCTGCAACAGGTTTCCAGAACTATTGTATCTGACATATTCAATCTGAAAAGCTTTATTCTTTTTAAATGAAAGGTAATTTCCACTTGTTCTGATTATTTTTTATCTCATTTAAAATGTCTCTATAGATTCAACCTTTGTTTCCCTTTTTAAATAAGCTTGGAAAAACATCTGAAATCGTTTAATGCCAATTTAAGCTTTTATGTTGAATAAAGATTTTAAACCAATTTTAAATGAAGTGATTTGTCAGGAGGATTTCTGCAGTCGGTCATTGGGGTGGGTGGTCCGCGCGCAGAGGCATCTGAAGAAGCCCCCTTATTGTTCAGGCCAGGTCGAGAAAGTCTGTGTTTGCTCTCTTCATTAGACATTCTAGTGTCAGTGAAACAGAATAAATAGAAGGCTGCGAGGTCAAAGGGAAGCAGCGGCTCGTCTCGGTGTTTAAATGTGTTTTAACAGTTACTTAAGGCTGCGGAGAAACTCTCTGCCACCTTCAAATGATGGAAATGAGCCGGGAAAGTTTGCAGAGCTGGCAATAATCCAAGTTGAAAGAGAGGAAGCCTTTGTGCTAAGGCAGTGTAAGAAAGCAAATCACTCGCTTCAAAGGAACCGCTTTATCTTCAAGCCTTTAATGAGAAACCGATAAAACAAAGCACTTTGTGGATATTATTTCCGGGCCGAAATATATTTCAGAATGAAGGCATCTTTTTACAACTTGACTTTCTTTAATCCATAAAATAATTTGTGGTTAAACGAAATAAATTAAAAACCACCCTGCTTCGATTTAAGGATTTAAACCATTGTGGATTGTTTTAGGATTCAACAGAAGCCTTTCCAAGTCTGACATTAAAAGGATGGGATGGATCAACCTGTGGATTAACGCAGTGTCTGAGATTAGCAGAGTGCAGTTCTGTAAACCCAGCAGCACTCTGTCTCCACACCCGACCTGCCGAATCTGACGCCTCAATTACGCAAAGGCACTTTTCCAATTTTAGGAGCGACACCACTGCTGTTAAAAAGCACACTCTGGAAATAGCGCGCATTCATTTTATACAGGAAAAAGATCATGGACTGTTTACATACAGGAGTGATTCTTGATTTGCAGCTACTTGTGATAAACGCAAATTAAAGCATTGAATATTCCTAATTTAGAGGGTTGGGAAAAAGTGTGGAAGATTAAAAACATGTAACAGTAGATTCTCTGTAATTTAGTTAAACCTCCAATTGTAAATCGACTTGTTACGCTGCTTAAAGCATCTGTCGGCCAGCCGGGACTTAAAAGGCTTCAAATAAGATGATTTGGTAACATCAAGGCTTTCCCAGCGGTAATGATTACATTTGGATTTAAGATCCATGCAAGAATTTGTAGCCCAGTAAATCTCCCTGCCCCCAGCACTCTTCAAAAGCCTCGTCATTCAAAGGGTTAGGATGTTTGACAATCCCAGCTTGTACTACTCCACCAATTAATTGGATACGTTGTCGGGATGTTCGTTTCTCTCATCTGCTACTTAGAAAGACAAAGGACCGATGGGGGGCTGTTGACACCTCTGCGTCCGGCCCGAGTATAAAAGAGGGGTCTGCGGGGAGAAGCAGCATTCACTCTCCTGCTGCACTCGGAGCAACATCACCTACTACCAAGACCTTCGATATTGTTCTACTTTTTCTTAACATCTGACAGAATGCAGGTGCCGAACAGACCAATGGGAGCTTATGGATACCCTATGCGTAATTACGCATCAGCGTCGCTGTACCCGCAGTACCAGGGGAGCCAGTGCACATCGATAACGAAGCCTCAGAGTGGGAAATCGTTCACTATTGATGCTTTGCTCGCCAAGCCGGAGGAAAGCAAAAACTGCAGGGCCAGCCCCACTCAGTGCGGAGAGAAATATCACCCAGCAGCCCCAGCTCTGCCCTTTAATGGACACGTAGGCTTACAGATGGCAGCAGCACCTTACGCTTACTCTCCCAACATGTTGCACTCTGCGCTCCACTCACAGCCTGGATATTCAGTGTACTGCTACCCGCCTTTCACCTACCAGTCATCGTGTCGGGGAGCATTTTACGCACAAGGTAAACACGAGCGTTGCATTTATTACTGAGCATAATGGTTACTTACTTTAACTATTGCAATGGGGCAGTGTGATTAAACGTGTCGTGTCTTATTTTCAGCCTCTATGTCCAAAGTGAATGCAGGGCTTCACTTGTTCAAAACCAAAGGTGGGAAGTCTAAGCGCATGCGCACCAGCTTCACCAGCGAGCAGCTCTCCCGGCTGGAGAAGGAGTTTGCCCGGCAGCAGTACATGGTCGGATCCGAGAGATTCCTCCTGGCTTCGGCTCTACAGCTCACAGAAGCTCAGGTGAGAAATAAAGACTTGCAAATCAGAATGTATGCATTTAAAATATAGCGTCAAACTTATATATTTTTAAATGTGTCAGGCAATATTTCTAACATGGATGCTATTCCTGTCTCCAGGTCAAAGTGTGGTTCCAGAACAGACGCATCAAGTGGCGCAAACAGAGTCTGGAGCAGCAGCAGGCCAAGCTAGGCCAAGCTGGGCCTGGCAGCTCCGCCAAAAGCCCCGGATCTCAGGGCCACGGAGATGATGAGGATGAGGAGTTCTCCGACCTGGACGTGGTGTCTGATGACTCCACTGACCACTGCTGACCGAACAACACTGGACTTAATGAGGCTAAGACTTTTGTACATACTGCTGAGAAAGGAGGAATGTGTCTCCAAATATGAATATTTATTAGATGTATAGTTATATATTTAATTGTCTTGCTCTTTGATTAGTTCACTTGAAATGTTTTTTTACATTTGAATGACATTTTTCAGAAATATATTTTATGACATCAATTGCAACCTTGTCCTGTTCATTCCTTCTTATTGAGCCATGTGTTTGAGACATTTCCAGAAGTTGAATTGGACTTAAAAAATAAATTAAAAAAACCTAAATCCTTATTGTATTTGCAAATGTAACACAGTTGAACTGATACATCTGAGATCTACCAAAATTAGAAGAGTGTATGTCTCATAAGAGATTTGAAATGATCCCTGCTCTTTCAGTCGGCCGGGCACTGTCTTCCATTAAGATGTTACACACTTTTATCAACATCTGATCACGTTTTGGATTGTTTTATGCTACAGTCAGCTAATTCTAATTTTGAGGGTAAAAACATTTACAAAACCAGATGAGTTTTCCAAATGTTCACTTTGATGTTGTCTCATTTAGTCTAAATACACCAATGTAGTGCATTTCATGTTTAAGGGAAATACTGAACAAAGCTTTTCAATGGGTTTGAAATAAAAACAGGTCTTTTTGGTTGAATGAACAGATAAAGAGGAAACCCCCAAGGTAGTCTTCCTGCAAACAAATATTTAAAAAAATGTTGCTTTATCAGATGCTTAGCTAATTATGAAATTCAAAACCCATACGTGTACATTTTTAGGTAGCGCTTGGGTACAAGACAGAGCTGCTTTGCGATAAAATAGATAGACTATTTCCAGCTTTTGGGTTTTTTTGCCAAAGAAAATACTTCTAAGCAGTTCTCTTCATAATGAAGCTTCTGTACACAGACCTTCCTCAGAGACACACTTAAATACCCACCTGCCCCAATCAGGTCATGCTCTTCTGATATCACTCCTTGAAATAATATTGAATATTGAATCCTCCATTTGCCTCAAATCACAACATGAAATCATTTACAGAACAGCCTAATAAGCAAACGTTTTTACAAAATAGTGCCTTAGACCTTTCATCTCATTTATACTTTTGTGTTCCCTACCAAAAGAGCACCAACATTTCAACTTCAATAGGAGAAATGTTTTATTAGGGGCCATTTTGCGAGGGTTTTTTAATCTGCACATTAGTATCATAAACTGATTTAATTCAGGAGAGAAAACCTGTCCCCTATAAAACCACCCCCATGCCCTTTGACCTCTCCTTATTGCTCCTCTCATCTCACTCTGCGCCCGGTGGAAAGATGACGGAGACATGGCGAGGCATTTCCTCCTTGGTTTGATCAAAGTTCAAATGTGGGGATGGACTCAGGTTCCCCTCTGCTTTAAGCTAAGCAAATAAATAACCAGCTCTGGGATTAGTTGTGGATATGTGTAACCCGGGGTGGTAGGGTCAGTCTGTCTCGGGCAGGAGAGAGCTGCGCCTCACTGTCTAATCTGTTTAAACGGTCACTACGGCTGTTCTCACACACATGCCCCCCCCCCGGGCAGGTGTCCTGTCTCTGCTCTATAGAAACTCCACGTCTTGGCTTCCAGGTGGAAAGGGAGTCCTGCTGTGTGCTGAAGCCTGCCTGGCAGACATGAAGGATGAAACACGAGAGAGGACAGCGTGCAGAAAGGATTGGGATGCAGCAAACGAGTCCATCAGAGCAGCTAATTGGGGAGGTGAAGCTGAAAGACCTGTCCTGTGGATAACTCCAGCAAATTAAACAAAGACATCCAACTGGGAACACATACTGGTTTCCAACACTTTTAATCCCTAAATTGTGTTAATACTTATATTACAGGCTGCTATTTGACTTACTGGTAATACACTGTTCCTCAGAAGTAGAAAGTAATCAAGTAGTAGTAGTTTTGTTTTAATGTCTAATCTCTTATGGCTTTCAGTTTGGACAAGAAGATGAAGCAACCTGTAGTTTCTGCAGCCATTGCTCATAAACTTTGATTTTTTTATACTCGACTAATAAACAGTTTCAAATGTTTGAGATCTGACCAAGAGTGAATTTTGTTTTTCTAATTCTGATGTTAGTCCAAATTCTGCAGGAAAAAAGTCACAATACTGAGAAAAATGTACTGTTTAACCTTTGGTCCGGTGTCAAAAGTAATTTCACATGTGGCCCTTATCCTAATGTAGAAATGGTTTTGTACATGTTGACCTTTATTTGGCCTGTTTTGAATATGTAAATGCTTCAAAGACACATGCCGCAGAGGTGCTGTGAGAGCTCAGGTAACAGTATCAAAGAGAGAAGTTTAATAAACCCCCCCCGCCTCTCCTGGTGTTTCTGCTTGCTGTGATTAGAGCAGAATTTGTGTAAAAACCCCAGAGAGCCGTTTCTGATGTGATCAGCCGGGAATCAGAGCTCCCCCTCCCCTCCGCTCTCCACAGCCCAACGTAATCCCATTGAGGGGAAGAAAGAAGCAGTCAGAGGCCTGGGAAAACCTGGAGAGTCCTGGGGAGGGGGGGGGGGGGAGCGGGGGTCACCGGGGCTCATCGTCCCAATTAGCACAAGGCACCTTAACGGCTGGAAACATGCCGCACTGCCTGGGCTTCTTAAGACTCACTGCCGGCTCTGAAGCTCCTTGTGAAAAGAAACTGGTCACATCTTCATTTACCTCCTGACTTGTTGCTCTTATTCCCTTTGCAACTGTTTGTCTAACTGACAATAACATCAGGTTTATCCACACTGCATTTTCAGAACATATTGTCTCTTTATAGGCTGCACTCTATCTTATAGAGCTGAAACAATTAGTTAAGGGGATGAAATGTAATCTGCAACATTGTTGAGGTTTTTCGTTTAAAAGGAGTTTTTCTGTTCATGGTGAGTCTGGGTGGATCTCCTTAAATAATAATATTAAAAGTATGGTGTACTCTATAAGATAACTTCTGGTTATTCAATTTGAACATATATATCTTTATAAAGTAAATATTTAATAACAAGTTAGATATATGTCTGTTGGTAAGCAAAAAAAGCTACTTCGAATCACCTTAGGCAGGCTCTGGGACATTACAGTGACTAGTGGATTTAGAGTAAAAACTATAATAAATATTATAATCTGAAACTCACCAGCGCTTGATGTGAAGTCATATACCTCCTGTTCAGTGTAAATGCAAAACAAGCAAAAGATAGCAACGATGAACAGCCACAATAGTGATATTAAGCAATTCATTGATCAAACATGTTGCAGGCTGTAACAACAGTAACATGAAATGGATGTATTGTAATGTAATGCTTATTGTCAATATTGATTAATTGTTAAATATGTTTACATATTTTTAAATGAATGTGTTTGTCCAAACAACATGATCAGTTTACTGCAGTGTGTGACAAAGGAACGCTACAAATACTCATATTTTAAAAGCTGAAACAAGGGATTTCCTTTGCATTTTTCCACTTTTTGATACTATTGAAGTGTAAGGTGTTATCTCTTTGTTATCACTCCAATGTATTGAACCCATCAAGCACATAATGCACATTAAATGATAAGTCAAAATGGAGTCTTTATCCTCACCCTGTTTCTCTATATCTTTAAACACCTAAAACATTTCTCCTCCCTGAATTCAAACACCCTTGGTCTCATGACTCAGCTCGGATGTAAGGTGTGAAAGTTCTCATGGAGAGCAATAACCCTGCAGCTCCAATAGCAGAGTGCACTTCATTTGAATTAGGGTAGGCGATTGTAAAAAAAAAAAACTCCTTTGCATTGTATTTGCAAAGGCGAGGGCCCTTCTACTCCATCTAATAGTCATTAGCTTTCATTACAAACGTTTGAAGTAGAGGCTGCCCTTTGTCTCGCGCTGAAAGGTCCGCATTTGAGGCGCACAATGACTTCTGGGCAGCTCCTCATCCTCCCGATGTGTGGAGGACCGACTGCTTTCTCTCAGGAAATAGCCGTTCCTGTCCGCGTTCAGCGACAGAGAACACCGTGAAGACCAGTCAAAGAGCAACATTGAAAATAGGAATCTGGATTCAGCTGGATTTAAAATAATGCGTAATGTATCCAACGTGTGCCTTTTACGCACAAAATACCCCATGAAAAAAATGCGGGAAAACGGTTGGATCATATCTCCAATATGCAAGCAGGCTTACATTGTGTTAATACACATCAGAAAATACCATCATACATGTTATCAGTGATTTTATTTCTTTATAAATCGCTACAAAAGAACTGCCGTAAAGCACATTGTATCCGATAAAGCTTCGCCAAAATGTTCGTATTACAATAGGTGTATTTTATTCTGCTTTAGTGGAGTTAAAATGTACATTTCACACTTTATGCACTTGATGATATTCACGCCATGGTTATAAAATGGTTAAAAATCTACTTTAAGATATGAAACACATTGATTAAGCGAATTAAAAAGCGAGAAATGCCTTTTCTCGATATGAACACGTTGTTCTCCAGGCCGGTTGAAGGTGTAATGTTTGTCTATGCTGAGCAGCAGAGCAGCCCGGTACAGGTGGCTAAACGACCGCACTTCTCGTGCAGGTGGCACAAACGCAGTGACGTGCTACTTTTCCCATCTCGTTATAACGGGGTGAAATGTTCCAAGTATTTAAGTGGAGCAGATTAGCTGAACACACAACGCTAATGCGAAACAAAATGGCCAATTAGTTTATTAATGAACGCAGGAGGTGAGAGGGGAAACCTCGGCTGGTCTCTGACGCTTCAATCTGCATCCTCAAAATCACCAGGAAGAGGAACAGAGAATCATTTGTATCTACGAGCCAAATGGTTTTTAAATGATGATTCATGTCTTGAGGATACATGTCTAAAGTTGATCACATATATACCTTGTAAAAAGTTGCCACCACAGTAAAGGAGGGGAATTAATGTGGAGAATTGTTGAATACATTTTGAGATTAAAACACTTAAAATTAGTTTGGATTATTTCGTGTATTAAGCCCCCCCTTTACTTTGTAGAATATATTTATTTTTTCTGAAAAGCTTAAATTCTGTCTCTGTTCTGAAGTATTTAACATTGACATCTAAAGTGCCCCATGTTGAGTTCATGGGTTCTGTATACTTGTAAGACTTACTAAGACTGAGAACGTTTTAACCTCCAAGGTTTGTACTTATGTCAAATCAGGTTAATACTGCTCATGTTCAACTGAAACAACCGG